AATTGGGCTTATATTTAAAGGTAAAATAGAGCCAGATAGTCTTCTTGACCGGGTGCTAATGTGAGACTTTTAAAAGAATGAGTTCCGACTTTGATGATGTCCATTATCTGATGGACGAAATTTATGCCCGTTTTCACTCGAGACAGTGGAGGAGGACTCGTGGACTGAGTCAATCTGAAAGTCATTAAATCCACACTGCTACAGTACAACGGGAATCAACCGTTCCTTTCTGGTGAAATCGCCCTTCGAATCTCTTTTTCACGTATTTTCATACGAAATTGGAGTCTCACCTTCTATTGACTCCCATTTGTTGCTAAACATCCTCTTCCTATTGATGTCTCTTCCCCCTATTCGGGTAATTTTCTTCCTCTACGCGTCTATCTTTTGTTGCTCTTGCTTAATTTTGAGGTTCTTCAAGTTCTCCTAAACAGTAAGATTGTCTCTTTGAGGAGTTCTAGCTTGGTCGCTGAGAATGGCAAGACTCACTGATTATGTCGGCGCAGCGTCTGGAAATGTACCACGTCCATGGTCTGACTGGGGACTAGGTGCATTCCTCTAAGTCTTTCTGCTAATATAAGCAAGTTGCGAAACGAAGGTCAAACAATTCCTATACATAAGCTTTCTGTGAATAAGGATATTTGTGGCCTACCTGATCTTGTGTCTTCTTGTATTTCCACCAGTCTTTCAGTACCATTACATTTGATATTATGGCCGGTACATACAATGTATTATGCTATCTTCGATCTTCTCCTATCCATGTTTTGGTATGTTAGCTAATGTTATTTACTTCTTACGTTGATTGTTCTACCTGTTTCTCCGATACATCTTTTTTTTTACCTTCTTTGTATTTGATATAGTAAAGCCCCAAGCGATCCATTTTACTAGCCTTTTCATGTTGTGTGGGTAAGTTTGTGAAAAGTGTCGTCCTTTCAGGAATGTGCAAATTGCGTATTTCTTCAGCAGTGACTGCAGCTTCCGGGCCAGTTGACAAGTACGCAGGGATATAACCTATGCATATGTCTCTTTTATATTTCCTTATTTATCATCATCTTTCTGTTTTCTAATCACTACCGATATATTTCTTTTTGCAAGGCTCGTTGGATATCAATTTTTGAGAAAAATTGTAATTTGTATTTTGTATTTTGTTTTTTCGAAATTCGGCTTCTTATGGTCATAATCATAATTATTGCGATCTTTATTCTGATATTATTATGAGGTTGAAAATTGACGATGTGTATTATTAGTCTCAGTGGATCGCCTTCCTCGCGTACATTTGATATTATGTTGATGATCTTGCTTCCCCCCATTAAGAATGAATTCATTGTAAAATGGTCATTTTCCTTAATGATATTTATCTCAGCATGTTTTCCATCACTTCCATCATTCTCGTTGTTGGGCGCCTGGGTGTCACTCGATTTATTCTTCTACTCTCGAATATAGTCTATTTTCTCCGCATATTAACTTTTGTTAATTACTATTCTTACCCCCCTTTGTCCGCTCATATCACTATTTTGTCATTAAATTTTAAATTTTTACCTCTCTTCGTTATATTATCCTCTTCGTAGTGTTGGCTTGACTTCGTTTTTGCAACTTGGTTGTAGCATCAGGGAGACATTGTGAAACGTACCTAGTCACGCGTCCTCTTCCATAGTATTCGTGATTTCCAATATCAGACCATTAACTAAGTACATTTCGAAAGGTTTCGCCGGCATCATCAGTGAGACGCGCCATCGTTAGGACAGAGTTACAACGTATCAAAGTAGCAAGTCCTCTTTATGTTAAAAAGTTCAGGGACTGTTCTCATTTTCCATTTTGTCTATATCAACATTTTCTCAGAGACATTTTTGACTTTACCCAAACACCTTTCACAACACTCCTTTCATTTGGAATGACAAGCTTCAATTCTTTCTTGAGCCCTGAGCTATGCTTTATTAATAGAGCGTAGCAGAAGTTTAATTAACCATTGTAACCTCATCCCTTTAATTGATCCGTGGGATTTTACATTCTTGGATCTTCTTCTTTGATGCCGAGTGATTTGACCTTGGGTTATCTGTTTCCTCACATTTAAGTAGTTTCTTGTAATGCCTCTTAATCGTTGAATAAAAAACTTTTTTGATTTTATTCCGTCATAATCTGTAGTTTTAAAATCTTCCTTAGTCACAAGTTTGCTTAGCTCATGCCCGCGATTAAACTATATCAATGTGAATAAATTCTTGAACATAACGTAAACAAGAGCCAGAATCGAGAGATTATAGATTCCAAGCATCACAGGAAACAGTTGACTTGTTGAGTAGAGTGGTTGGCAAATTGGACTTGTTTATTTAGGTTCTAGAAGTGACCCGAACGGCATCTGCTGCATGTTACTTATTTAATTTCTTCCATTTGCCACTTAATTTCTCTATTTTAATATTTTTGCTCTCTTCTGCATGTTCGTTGACTTCAGGTGCGTTGTAGACTTGAATGTCTTAATCACTGGTACAACGAATTTATTCGACTCAACATTTGTTTGGGTCAGGTCTGTTGTTTTCTACTTAGTCGAACAGCAACCTTCACTAGTAACCTGGTCTTCACAAACAGCTCCTTGCCAAATGGCCCGATAGCAATGCGCTTTCAGTCTCCGGTCTCTGATTTCGTGCTTTCAATGTCCGGCTGTAGATCAGCATTGTCTGTTGGCTGTTCATTACATGCAGCTGGTGCTCCTTGCTATGGACAAAAAGGTGAACAGTAATTGAATGAATTTTAGAGATACTCTGATATATAAGTATTCTTTTTTGGGCCTAATTTAATTTTCTTAGCTTTTACTAACGAACTATCTAACTAATCTGTTTAATAGTTTTCCTTATTTACATGAGATATTTATAAAAGCAATATTTGCGTCTCCAGACTCAAATTATTGCAGTATACTGATCATAGGGTTGTGAGTTGAGACTTATCTATTCATTTGTGGCTTAAGGAATCCTGTCATAGACAAATGTTAGAGCTAGTACTAATGCTGTAATGGTTCTATTCTTGCTTCGGACTTTGGTCGATTTCCGAATTTTTCTTACTTAATTTACTTTGATTTTGGAATGGCGTTCACAACGCTTTTATGAGCCTTAGAATTTACAGTTACGTATCTTTAAGTGCATTACGCACTTATTTTTCCTTTTTAATTAAATTACTTACGCCCTTTACAAATTGAAATAAGTCCACACCTCTACTTGTTAAGAGCAATAAAGTTGACGCGAATCTTAAATCAAACTTCGCTTATCCTTATTATCATGAGACGCTAAAACATTTTCTATTTATAATTTACGAACTTCAAGTTGGTATACATGTTTATTTGGTAATTTTTTGATCAGCAAAATTTTGTACCTTTGTTAAGGTTATTTTATTTAATTTTAAGAAATTTTCATTAGTCGGGCTTTTACAACGAGCTCTTTTTCCTATCATTAAATCACTATATGATTAACCTTGTATTCCTCCATAAATATATTTGCATGTATTCGCTATGTATAAATATTTTTATTCAAGTAGAATTATCCACCTTTAACAGTTATCTCTTTGGAATCTGCTTAATTGGATCGCTTCAAATAATACCGCATTTCGCTCCGTCCTTTTAGTTATGCAGGATTCATCTAGCCTATTTAGCTGTCCTCTCCTTTCGACGGCCTGGAAGGATCGAGAAGCTGTATACCATGCCTTTCTTCAGGGTTCCTGGCTTTTTCCCACCTTGCTGCGACAATATTCCTTCTTTACCTCAAATTCTGTCTCTAACTCGACTTCCTCTCGTTGTTCATCCACCTCGACGATCTGGCCTCCTGTCCACTCCATTTATACTGAACTCCCGGACAACCAAGGGTCTGATCTTTCTTCCTGCCTTCTAATACGTTTATTGCTTGTCAATCCGGACTGCCAGCTTACCGCCAGGCCTGCAGTCCAACTTACCTCAGGCTACAAAGATCCAGCATCGCACTTTCCAAATCTTTACCCTCGTGCACTGCTTTCTTACCTGAGTGCACTGAATCCTTCATTATCACGCATTCTTTTAAACCCAAAAAAGGTTCCCCAAAACATGCAAAGCTCTTCACTGAGTAGGCTTCTCTCGTTGGTGGCTGGTGTCGCAGAGCCAGTACCGCCTGGAGCATCTCGAGGATCAGGCAGCTTTGGGGAAGCGATGATTCGGCTTAGTCGTGTCGTCAACCGCTGTCTCGATCCGACGGTGGTGAATGCAGTTAACTCCTTGGCCCCGGCCAACCTGAGGGGGCCCCTAACTACAAGACAAGACTCCGAGGGAAATTCTGGCAAACATAGGTATGACTTATTACCGGGACTTAATTTCTATCACTTGTCCAAGCTATATAGAAACTTTTTGCTAAATATCACTCGGGCTTCAAATTTTATTTTTTTATCTATTCCCTAATCTGTTATCATTTTATTCTCACCTTGACTTTTTTCCGCTATTGCTTCTACATATGACTATCGCTAGACGCTATGCTTCATAATAGATCAGCTCTTTACCAGCATAAGTTGATAAATAATTGGGGTGTAGAAATGCCGTTCTTGTGCCTACATGAAACGAGAGTTTTTTTGATGAAATTGACATCATGTTAATCCATTTTGATGGCTCACTTCCCCATATCCGAGTTTACTCTATATTGAGCCTGCAAGTTTAATAATCCTACTATAAGTTGTATTCAATTTATTTGATTTATGGTGATGAAAAACTGGTAGAGCTAACTTTTACATTAAATTTCACATAGTCTCGCTTTCCAAAAATTTATTTTTATCCAGGCACCAGTGGACTCCATTTTCGACCTCACCTAGGTCTTATCAACATCCCCAGCGGGGGGGGGGTCA